ACTCAGTGAAACCAATCAATAATCAGCCTTTGTGGATCGATTTTTTGAAATGTTTTTGTGCTTGTGTGTGGTTGTGTGTGTATCATCATATTGTTTTTGTTTTTTTTTGTTTGTTTTTTGTCAATATTGTGGTATGTAGTATCCGTCCAGGGATGTAGTGGACTATAAACCCAATCATATTGAATCCTCTTATTTACAGAGCAAAGATTGAACAAGTAAGATTTATGTCTGCTCACAAGAGCAGTTATAAATCTTCATGGCAAAAGTCATACCACGCATAAAAACTTTACTGGAGTATAGTGACATTTTGAAATACTGAATGCTTTGCCTAAAAATATAGTGGACTTTTATTTTGCTTGAATGATAAACAAACTCAGGGGTACAGTATACACTTTCTACGTACCACTACACCACTGGTTGAGTCCTTCTGTTCTGTGTGTGCGCCTGTGTGTCCGTGTACATTCGGAGATGTGGCATGCTGGGTGAGAGTGGGTGGCCCCGACCTGTTCCTCTGCCTCTCTCTAAACTCTTCTTCTCCACGTAGCTGAAGGAGTATGAGCGCAGCAGACAGTCCAGCAGTACTGACACTGCAGAGTGGACTGACGGATCTGCACCCAATCTAAACCAGTCCTCAAACTGCAACGTAAGTACACCCCTACCCCATTCCCCCCCGACACCCCAAAAACCCTGACCCTTCCCCTTTACTCTACCTTTCCGACCACTCTCACCTTTCAGTTTGATTTTTCAGCCGAGGGGGTTGTGAAGGAGGACGGCCATTGTTGTTTCGACGTTTGTGTGCATGGGTGTGTGTGTTTGTGTTAATCCAAATGTTAAGAACTGTAACCTTAACTACTGTTCTTAGCTTGATGTCTAGACTTTGAATATGATCCACCTGTAGACTTCCCTTTTCAATATATTTGCATAAACCACTGTTTAACTTTTATCTTGCCTCCCTCTCTTCTTCCTTTTCTTTATCTGCCCTTCTCTCTCTGCTCTTTATCCATTAGCCAAACTACAATATATCTGTCTTTGCACATACATTCTCTCCACCATGTCATGTGCATCGTAATAAAATGGGTGTTCCCTCTGTGAATCTTGCCTCATTGCTTACTTCGGTTTTATTACGCAATGTTGCGAGTCCTCTTCCATGTTTTATTCATCAAGTTAATTCTGCCATGTGCTCATTTGAAATTTGTCCCAACAAAATCATAATTGGCTCCAGTAGTGACAAGGTAATTGTCTCCTTGGAATTTAAGATCAGGTCCGTTTCCATCAATCAGTTGTAATTGTAACTTGCAGAAAGCCAAGTGGAGAGTCGGACAAAATCCAGCCAGAACCTCTTGTGGCATAAGCGCTTGTTAGTATTGATTTTGTCAGCTGCGATCCTTGGAGTGAAAGCCTCCAAATCTCCCCAGTAACCTTTTTAAATGAGTCAAGACCTTTGAGGATACTTCATGTTGTGAAGTTGGTCCCGTAACGGATGCCATGAGTTGTGGAGTTGGAGCTCAGACAATCACAGCCTGTTGGATCTAGTTCGGTGTTTGTTGACAATCACTTAGTTCTTTCTGTTGTATCTATGTTTGCATATGCTACAGTTGTCCCCCCCCCCTATTTTAAATGTAGGCCAGCTATGAAGCAGATTTAGGACTCACAGTGGTTATGGGTTTTTCTTTTTGACTAGTTCTGTAATATATGGCATCACATGGGAAAAGCATGCAGTCATACAGAGTCACACTCTGACCCAGTTTTATATAGGAAATGAGTTTATCCAAACACAAAAATTCCAAGTATTCTGAAAATAACTTCCTGCACATGTGTATTATTGCTATTTTGGAATGTGTTACTAATTCCCAGCTACAAAGCACTGACATTTTCTAAAAGCGATCTCTTGCATATACTCTTATTCTCTATTCGTAACTGAATGCATGTGCATTTCATGTCCTCGTTGGTAAAGTAATTGGAAGGTTGACCCTACAGCCTTTAGACAGATGTGCTTCGATCCTTGCCAGGGTTGCATCTCCAGAATCAGTTTCTTTCAAGAGAATGAATATGCTTTCAGTGCAGATGTGCTTGACTTTTACGCATTCACAGCTGCCCCTGTTCCTCTTCAACTTGAAAGTAATCTATGGTTTACATTCTTAAACACCAGGACTTCAGATCTAAACGGCTGTTTCTTACTGTAACTGAATCATTAAATCCACGAATAAGGACAAATGCAGAATAGTTTTCTCACATCACCACTGGTCCCTATTAAATGCTTCTTCTGGTTGGTTAATTGATGATTTCCTTCCATATGAAAAACAGCTTAATTATACCATAGATAACCTCAGCTCTGGTTCTGTCTGCTGTCTGGCTCTCTCATGTGGGTGTGTGAATTGTGCATGAGTTTGCTGATCATCTCATCAGTCTGTTAACCCTCACATTACCCCCTCTGCTGCCAGCTGCTCACTTCCTGTGGGAAGAGGATTGATCGATTGGGGGGTTTTACAGGACAGGGGAGAGGATGAAGACTTACTGAAGGAGGATTGTGTAGAGGAACACACAGATTGGCTCTGGAGGCTGTGAACAAATGCAAGTGCTGGAGGCAGAGAGGAAACAAGGGAGAGAGAGAGAGAGAGAGAGTTAAGATAAAGACTACCCTCAGGGCCAGAAAAAAAGGGGGGGGGGATATATCTCCCCTTGCCCCAAGTTCCAAAATTGGCCACTACAGGAAAAATTTCTTCTCTACAGGGGCCTCTATTGGTGTCACATGTTGCCCCCTTTCCCCTATAATGAATGGAATTAGGTCATTCCCAAATTCAAATAGTAACAGTTCTGTGTGCCTGTATTCTATCTATATGCAGACATGTGAATATACAGTACATATGTGTGGCTGACTTGTTAGCAATAAGCAATTCTTTGGCTGCTCTGTCCCTTTTTCTCTGATGCTGTGTTTCCCCGGTCTGCCCCCCCCCCCCCCGACGATCGGAACCCACATTCCAGGGCTGGCCATTAGCGATGTGGGGGCCAAGGCAGGGTCAGAGGGACTCAAATGATGGGATTGTTCTCCATGCACAACACGCCTTTTCTCTGCTAGCTGTGCGGCACGGCTCTTCCAAACAGTCCCTCATTCCTCTGAGCTGAATTCACTAACAGGCTGCGTCTGTATCTGCCAGCATGTGCACAGGGGCACAGATATTATTTTGGATCGTGCATGCGTGAGAATGTGGTTGGCACACGATGGATTTGCTGGACTTGCGCTTGCTAGCCCGTTGTATATTAACACTGGAAGTGCTACCCTGCTGTTTTAAACTAAGGTGGTAAGTTTTAAGGCACATTGTTGCACTTAACTTTCTGTATCAGATTTTCTTTTGGGTTTGTCCTGTTCAGTTTTTATGGCACAGAACGAGCAGAAAGATTTTGGTGTGCGCTGTAAGGATGTTGGATTATAGTTTTCTAAGTTTAAGGGCACCTTCCAAATTGTGGGAACGGTCGTCAAGGTAATTTGTGAAGTGAAACGGCAGTTATGGTGGAGGAATTGTTGCTTTGACCTTGTTTTTGATGGCGGCCTTTCAGCCCTTCTTGATTCATGGCCTCATATGTTTGAGTTTCTTTCTGTGTTTCTATGTCTCCCCTCCGGTCATTTGCATGGATGGTGTTTCTCAGGGCTGGGTGAGGACGTATATGTCACTGTCACCTCTTTATCTTCTCCTGTTCTTTTTCCTCCTTCTGTCACACATGGAATAGAAGAAATCATGAGGGGGTTAACTGCTAATTCACTCAGGCAGTTGTGTTAACCCCAATATGACCTCATATGACACACTGTTTTTTTGGGGTTTTTTTTACACTTCTCAAGAATAGTGGTTTATAGGAACCAAGACCCAGGAGTCGACTCCAGTCCAACCTTTGGTGGGTTCACTCATCTCACAGTCTCTCTGCTGCCTCTTTTATCAATCCTCAAGGACACAGACTTGTTATTACACTACATTCTTCGAAGCTATTACATTCTAGCATCGTCCAGGGCAAATGGAAATTTAAAGGAATCACCACAGCAGCCAGAATTGTGTGGTTGACTTGAGGGATTGTCGGGGACAATTGGGCTGAGGGGTAGTGGAGTTATGGGTTTTCAGAGCCTATTTCTGTGGTTCGTCAGAGGCCGGATGAATGGCTGTGCCCCAGCTCTGGTCTGCTGCGCCAACATGACAGAAATCCTAAACGTTGATCATGCACCTCAGAAGGTGGTTAAGTGATGGCAGAAGGGGGGGGGGGGGTCAGTGTGATAGAATGGACTTTGTGATGCTGCACTGATAACTATATATTGTTTTCTTTTCCAACTGCGGGTTTGTAACACTCACACGTCTGCAGGAATCAAAAGGTCATAATGTTGCTCTGGTTGTGTGGTGCCATCAAGGATTTGCGGACAATGTCAGATTTGTTGGCTTCAACCGAGCCACAGTTGTTAACATCATCCCCACTGTAGGTCAGCAGCCTCTGAGCCAGGCCTGCGGTCTAAACTCAACAACAGCTAGAAAGTGGTTTCTTGCTTGTTAGCTTTAGAGCTGCAGGAGGAGACTGTGTTTTATCAGACAGAGAAGAGCTAAGCCTGCAGGCCTGTTCTGTCTAGTGGTGTGTGTGTGTGTGTGTGTGTGTGCGTGTGCGTGTGTGTGCGTGCGCACGCACATGTATGCATGAGTGTCCCTCTGCAAGCGATGCAGTCAACCTCGACCATGGAACTGGCAGTGTGTGAGAGAGGTGGTGTTGCTGTGGAAACCAGTAGCAAAATAGGAGCAAATTAAGTTGTTTGAGCTCCATGATAATTATGGTGGTTTCTGCCAGACAATCTTTACGCCAAGGCTCAGCTCATCACCACCATCACATCGAGGCTGCAGCAAGAATGTGCATACACACATGGAGCTGAGGGAGTTTTTCTGCGGGTATGTGTGTTGAGGCTCAGTGGGAGTAGGGCTTGTGCTGTACGTGTGTGTGTGTGTGTGTGTGTGTGGGTGTGTGTGTGTGTGTGTGTTTGTGTGCGTGCGTGCGTGTGTATGTGCGTGCGTGCGAGTGATGAAACTGTTAGCGACTTCATTATTCTATCTCTTTTCCACTCCACTACCACTGTGCAGAGAGTTTAGATGCAGTGAGAAAAAAAAACACGAAGATGCTGACACCCATAACATGCGACCAGTGTCCTTTCATTTCCTCTGGAGTAAACGGTCTCTGAAGGCAACATCATCAAATAAGACCGTTTATTGTAATACTGACTCACTGTGCCATTCAGTTATACCCATTTTTTTTTAAATTACTGTCATCTGGTTCATTATTTCAGTGCATTTTTTTTCTGTTTGCTATGTATATGAATTTCACACAATGCAGTCCTGCAGTCCTCCATTTCTCACATCACTAACTTCGACTCCATTCTAAAAAACGCTCCCATCTGTTGCATTATAACAGCATCTCAAAGCATATTCGTCAAAGTTTGTTTTATTTTCTCACTACTTTTTATATCAAAATAATTCAAAACAAAACCATACATTTCGTTAATCTCTGCTTTCATGAAATGCTTGCGCTGAACTGGACGGAAGACTTTTCCCAGTTTGACTGTGTGTCCCTTTTATTACATCATCCCTCCCTCTTTGTCTCTCCCACCAGTCTCGTGAACAGTCAGACGATGAGCAATCGGAGGACTCTGTGAAGTTCAAACGGCTTCACAAACTGGTTAACTCAACACGCCGCGTCAGGAAAAAACTCATCAAGGTGGAAGAGGGCAAGAAACACGGCTCTGAAGGTTTGTAACCCTCAGATGGTGAATTCCTTTGATTGTCTCACAGCTCAAAATAGTTTAAATCTGTCAGCATTTCTTTTTCACTTTATCAGTCAATTAATGTTCATGTGTTGTGTTTCCCAGGCACATAAAGGTCATGGTTATAGGCTTCATGCTTCTACTGTATACAAATGTCAACACTGCTGGCATTACTTTTTAGAATTTTATGTTTAAAATCAGTTTGAATTGATCTGTTGGTTCTCACGAATAAGAAGTTAAAGTTCAATCATAGTAAAAGTTGTGTTTTTGGAAATGTATAAAGTCGTGTCTTTTTGCCAATGTATTACATTCTTTGCCTGAAACTCAGACTTGAAGAATGTGTTTTGAAATGTTTGCTGGCGAGCTGTGGTTTGGAAATCCACAGATGGGTCATGGGACTGCACAGAATCTAATGTCTAAATCCTGAGTAACAAACTAGTGATGTTTCTGTCTTGTTTAGATTTCCTGAATCTGGAGGCACCTCCCACCTGTGAGGACAACACAGCTCTGTACACAGGGGTACTAAAGAAGCCCCCTTTGCCCCAGGAGGCCTCTCTGCCCTCCCTCACCCAGGATCAACTCTCCCTCGATGGAGACACAGACAGTCTGACCACCTCCCCTTCCTCCAGCAGCTTGGACACCTGGTCCGGACACAAGCTGGTCAAAACCTTCAGTAAGTCTTCCAGTACCCACGGCCTCATCCGGCCCCCCAGGAGAACCCCGGTCAGCTCTGGTGGCCTGGGAGGTTCCATCTCCGGCGTTGGAGGTAGTGGCTCTTCCTTCTCGGAGTTGGATGGCTGTGGATTGGACGACGAGGGGAAACTGTCACGCTCCACTACCGACAGCGAGATGCGGAAGGCCCTGGGCTCCATCTCCCATGGGGTAAGTAACAACGAGGCCCTCTACGCTTACTATGGCCTCACCAAACCTCGTCCCAAACCCCATGCCCAGTCTCGTTTCCTGATCTCCCTGGATGACGGTCCACAAGGCAGCCCTAAACACCAAACTGCCAACCGGCACCATGGCAGCTGGACACACCGGAAACCTGACCCCAACTACGCTTACTCCACCAAGCACCTACTGTACCAGCGCTCGCGCAATTCCAAGACCCCTGTCTCCCCTCTGTCTGTCACCCCCTCCTCCCCCGCCCGCTGTGATGTAGCCAAATCAAAGGGTTTTGGAAGTGGGGGAGGGGGCTGGGTGTTTCCCTCTCGCAGGCTGCGTGGTCGAACAGCAGTCAGTGAGCTGAACATCACCTATGTGGTAGAACGGAGCCTGTACGGTCACCTCAACTGGGCCCAGCTGGTCCGCCCAGTTACCCTCAGCCGCGCTGAGCGCCGCTGTCTGTTGGAGGAGGACCGCGAGGCGGACAGGAAGTGGGCGGCCAGTGTGGACCGCTGCACCAAGCGTGTGCTCTTGCGGATCCAGCAGAAGTCTGTGAGTTTGGACCATGAGGTTCAAATCGACCGCCTCGTGTGAGCAGGACTCGGTGTACTTCAAAGTTGCAGAATAGCTCAGAGGTTACAATAGAAGGTGCAGCAGACATACACAACACAACACACGAAGCATGTCGACTTATTTAGTTAATGACGTCTGTGTGACAAGTCAGAAAGTAGCGCAGCTCACGTACTGAAAACGTCAAGAACCAGCCTATCACAGACATATCTGCCCTCAGAGGAATGGTATCTTCCTTGACCTTTAAGTGAATGCCTTTGGCTTCAAACCTTTTTCTTTCAGCTGAAAATGAAATGATTATGGAATGTGCAGTGCCCCACTTGGGAGGTTAAGTCACAGCAGAGGTTTTATAAGTGCCTTTTATAAATGTCAGATCCCTGAAGAACACATGCACTCGCACAGTCACGCTGATCCCTGTGGGCAGAGGAGATGCTGTACGAGCTTGGAGGAGCTCATTCTTTGAACTGCACAGCACGTAACCTCAGAGACATACTCAGTGAATGGCCTTATTAAGTCGAGTTCAGTGACAGATGTGTCTTTACGCTGATCAACTTTCAAATTGATCTTGTAAGGCTTAGCAGAGCAATTAAAAAAAAAAGTGGATTCAGCAGACAAACAGGTGAACTACATGTACTAATACATATTCATACCTCAGTGAATATAAAAGGCCAAATTTCTAATGTTAACAAGGATGAAAAGGGTCTGGTTGCATCGCAAGTACCGTACTCATTCCCCCACATATAACCTGTGTAAATCAATACAAGTAGTGACAGATACTCTAGGCGGTGTTATAGAGGAGCTATCCTGCAGCTTTGAGGGTACCTGAATCCTATCGTGTACTAGTGAAATCACTGGAGGTCGTTCTCATCCAGAAACTCTCCGAATCCACTGTTTCTGTTGTTGCTTTTCGTTTCTTTTTTTTTTTTTTTTGGCCCGTGCCTCTATGGTTGCAGATATGATTTTTTATTTTTTATTTTTTGGTAGTTTTTCTTTTCTTATAATTAAATTCGAAAGGCATTTATTTCTGGGTGCATGTCCATTCCATCAAGCATCGCCATTACATTCAGAACAGTTCTTTTTGGACGTCTCTTCAAACATGTTTGTTCTCCAAACTGTGCTTTTCCTGGGAAGTTGTGATGTGGACTGCAGCTGTGGACATCTCATATAGAAACTATTTTCTTAATGTGCAAGTTCTTTGCACCTGGGTTCATCCAGGGTTTGTGGGAGTCTAATCGAGTAGTTTAGAAGTTTTTTTTTGAAGCAAAGGAGAAATGCCACCAAGTACCCCACAGGAACCGAGGGTTTGCTTTTGGCAGAAGACGCTTGATGTGCATGTCTGTGTCTACATGTTTGTGTGTGACCTACTGCAGAGCTTGGGAGGAATTCAAAATGTCAAAGCCAATTTAGTGATAAGGTCCTGGATCTCTTCTCCTCTCATGTCATAGTTCCTCTTTGTGTCTACCCCTTATTTTGCTGTCAACCTCTAAAGTCAAGAAGAAAAAAATCCTCCATATCACCCTGTCCTCTCAGCAGAAACAATTTGCTCTGTCTGAAAATGTTTCTTGTGAGAATAACGTATTGGCGGCTCTAAGCAACCAGCCTAAATGTTGTGCATGTTAGCATACTAAGCCCAGCTTTGCATTTGTCATAATTAACCACAAAATGAATTGCATCAGGCTGCGCTGCAATGAATATACATTCACTTGTAAAAGTACGATTTTTATATTTTAGCTTGGCCACATCAAGTAAGGTTAATTTTGTCCAACATTTTCTCCGGGGGATTCAAGTTTTAACGCCCATGAAGCAACTTGTTGGAGCCGACTGTGAGCCCTCCATGGTCAATATAACAGCTCATTTGCCTACGACCATGCAGTAATTTTAAAGAGGAGCTCATATAACAGTTTGTGTTACATCATGTCTGTTGGCTGTCCACAGTCCCATATGACATCATGCCCCCACATATGTACAAACCATATACCCATGTTCATTAATCAAACTGTTGCCCGTGTCGTGTCATGCCAAGCATGAATCATCGTGAGTTGACCCTCGATGGTTGTGGATGGGGAGCTCCTGTAACGCCACCTTCTGAGTGTAACTCATTTGATTGTATTTTGGCTCCTCCGCAGAGAACGTGCAGCTTCGGAGGCTTTGACCTGTCCAACCGTTCGCTCCATGTGGTCAACACAGGCTCGGAGGCCAATGTAAGTGCTGGCAGCTTGTAAAATAAGAAGAGGGGCACGAGCTGAACTCCCGTCATACTAAATCCCCCTTTCTCCTCTGTCTTCTGCCTTGCTTTTGTGACCCCCCCCCCCCCCCCTCCCCCCCCTCTTTTTTTTTTTCAATCTCCCCTGATTCCGCCCCGTCTCTCCTCATCTCTCTCTCTCTCTCTCTCTGTTATCCTTCCTCTCTGTCCATCCTTCTCTGCCCTGCCTTTCCTTCTTTCTTCAAATCGCAGAATAAAGAGCAGGAGGCTATTTACAGAGAAGTGGTGAAATCCCCCACTACGTCTCGGATCTCACTGGGCAAGAAGGTCAAGTCGGTCAAGGAGACGATGAGGAAACGCATGTCGAAGAAGTACAGCAGCTCCTTGTCTGAGCAGGTTAGACATGGACACACACATACACACACACACGGCCACACTTTTTTGAGTCCTGTATTGTTAGAAAGCTCAGGTAACTTTGAACATTACACGGTCTCCCTTGTTTTTAGGGCAAGTCATCTATAAACAGTCAAACCTTAACTTTGTTTAAAAAGCAGCGGCGAACGCATAAATGGTCCCGCAAATCTATACAATATGTGTTTAATCCTGGACACAGGCGAGCCAAGCACAGCTGTAAAGACATAAAAGCTGCCCATGTTCTGCAAACATTTAGAGGAAGTTTTGCAGTGTGTAAGCCACATACTCTGTCCACAGGCTGTGAGTGGGCGGGAGTATTTGTGTTAGTTACAGAATAAACACAGAGCACTGAAACACACACACACACACACACCCTCTCTCTCTCTCTCTCCCTCTCCCTCTCTCTCTCTCTGCTGTGCTGTGCTGTCCCGGGGCCCAGTCAGTAGGGTGGAGTGTGTGGTTCATGTTGAGCTCATGCAGTGATGCAAGTGTCCCCCAGGCTTGTTGTTAGGAAATGGAGACTTAAAGTGTGAGAGTGTATAATGGCTGTCTGATCTGCTCTGGCCTAATTTTTTCTGGGCATCCAGTGGCACCACCGGTGGCCTCGCCAGCCCTGCAGTTTGATGTCGCCCAACGAAATATGTCATTAATGTGGAGTTCAGCATCTGTCCGTCACGGTGGTCCTCAACGCTGTGACCCACATATCCTGGCATGAGTCATAGAGCCATTGGTTGGGAAAGAGCAAAGGAAATTTAATTACCATGTCACAATGTCTCAACCATGGTCATTTTATAGGCCACAATGCCACCTAGTGGATTACTGAAACAGTAGTGGCATGTTGATGCATGTTGTTGCTTCATTATTAGAGACTTCAAAGGAGATCTGGAAAGATTTGAAATCAATTTAAAGTTTAAACAAACAATTATGAGTTGTTTAATTTATGCAAAACAATCATTTGGCACATATCATGTAATTTAGGTCAGTTTAGATGGTGTTATTACTTCCATAATTTGATGGAATTCCTGCTGAAGTAAGTTGTTCCATCAGGACATTAGACAGTGCGGGATCAAGTTTTAGTGGATGTCTGTTATTGCTAAAAAGAAAAAGCTTTTTAATTTTAATGACTTTATTTGGTTGGACATTTTTGTTGCCCCTACTAGTGCAGCTTGACTTCACTGCATAAAGGCAATGTGTTCACACTTGTTCAAGTATGTCTTAATACAATGATCGTATGGACAGTGAAAGTGTTATTGTCCCCTGTCGCTGTTTCCGTTCATTCTGGCTGCGAAGGAATCCAGTGGAGGTGATGGGGAACGAAACCCACAGTCCGTGTGAAAATGAGTTCAGCTGAAGTTAATGAGGCTTCAGTTTGACTTGACAAATCTAGCGAGTTGTCGTCCAACATTACAGTCTTTGTTACTATGCTCAACTCAGCGAGGAAACGCTGTCAATGGAAACAAAAAGAAGTTTTTGAACTAAAAAAAGATTTAACTTATAAAAATGCCATCTTTAGTTGATTTAATTGAGATAGCTAAAGCCTCATATAATCAGAGAAGCTTTAGCAGTCATTCCCAGACAGACCCAGGACTTTGGATGTTTTCCCTCATCACTTATATTTAAATAGGAACTGATCTCTGTACAGTTTGTATGGAGAGGAGAAACAGTTTCAGTGTAAATGTGAGGACGTGAGTACTGTTTTAATGCAGACTTGAAGAATTGTGAACTTATTCTTTAAGACATACTGTTTTTTTCAGAAGGTTCAGGTGCTAATATTATGAGGTCTTTAAATGAAACAAAAAAGGATCTTTGCTCCATAGAAATATCAGGAAAAAATAAAACATTTTAGGAAGAAAAAGCCTCCAGAATTTGTATGTTTTTAATAACTTCAAATTTGAATTGATGGATAAATCTCATTCATGCTTAAAGCTGAGTTTTATATCTGTCCATCTGTTTTAGACATCAATAATGGTAAAAAAAAAAAAATACCCCTCGGTTTTAAACACCACCTCCACCTATGATATTCATCCCTCCCTCTCTCTTCCATCGTTTTCCCCCCTGTGTCAACCTCCTAACCACACTGTCCCATCCCTCACATCTTCTCCTCTCTTAACTGTACAACATTTCCTTTGTGTCCGTCCCTTGTGTGCTTTCATTACCCATCCTGCATCACCCTCCCCCTCTCTCTCTCTCTCTCTTTTTTTTTTGTCTTTCAGTCCAGTCCGGATGGAGCCCCCGGTTCCCCTCAGTCCCCTCAGCCTGACACCGACTCTCTGGAGAAGCCGAAGCTTAAGGCTGGAGGCTCTGTGGAAAGTCTGCGTAGTTCACTCAGCGGACAGAGTTCAATGAGTAAGACAAGAACCATTGTTTTAGAAAAGGCATGCTTGTTGTTATCAGGCCTTTTTGTTTTTTGACATTGTGTATATGAGAAAAAGTTTGTTTTTTTTTTGCTTTCACAAAACCAGTACTTCACACCACTCTCTCTCAATTTTACTCAATACTTTGACAGTTTGTGAAGCACATAAACAGGATTATACTTGCCGTTTAGTTCTAGCCATGCATCATCGTATAGCTCATGTAAACATCTCGTACATAAGTGAAGGCAATCTAAAGATTTAAATTGATTAAAATAGCCTGATTTGAGCAATGCGTAACACTAGATGGTGCTCATCACATTTCCTGTTTGCACTTGTGTATTTCAGATACAGACTTAACCTTCATGCTGCCTCTGGCATTAAATGGTTTTTTTTTTTGTTTGTTTTTTTTTTGTGGCATGATCTCTCTCTTGATCACACCCAGTCCCACCAGCTGCCTCGTGCGCTGTGATCTCAGAACGTTTTCCAAGTGTGTTTTGATCTCGCAGGTCATCTTATCTAATTACATCTTATGATTACTTCAACCTGGTATTTCCGTCACATCTTTTGTGGATACATTTTTCAAGTTGAGAGTGAAGTGAAGACTTGGCCGACTCGCAGTGATTCAGAGCCATAGAACACGCACACAAACATGCGAGCAGACAGGCAAACATACGGTAATAATTAGGTAGGAAGTCTTGCCTCTCCGATTCCCACACGTCGACATGATTTCAGCCTTCAGTCTTCCCTCAGACGCTGAGGAAAATATGCTGTAAACACTCTGCTTCACCCAGGACATGCAACACAACTGTTACACTCCTCACTCTTACTTCCACAGAAACAGAGAAAAAATAATGTAGTCTTTGAATAGCGTATCTAGCCTTGTGAAGCTCCTTGAGCTCCTTTTAAACAGTGATGATGAAGAGATGTTTTGAAGAAAGCTTCAGTCAGATTTGGACTGTTTTGATGATATAAGAGAATCCTTTTTTTTTGTGAAATTGTTAATATTTATACACAGTCATTTTATAGCTCATGTGCACATTTGCTTGTGTGCCTTTGTGTCCAGGTGGTCAGACAGTGAGCACCACCGACTCATCGGCCAGTAACAGAGAAAGTGTGAAGTCGGAGGACGGTGATGACGAGGAGCCGCCTTACAGAGGACCGTTCTGCGGGCGTGCCCGAGTCCACACCGACTTCACCCCCAGCCCCTACGACACGGACTCCCTCAAACTGAAGGTAAAACACGTTATGGTTATGCACACCTGGTTCCTATTCACTTGTGTGCAAATTCAATAGCCACAGCCTTTAATCTCTGGAATTCTCTACCACACACAATCTGTTCACTCGTTTGATTACACTTCATGGATGAAGACGATTTTTATAATCTAGTTTTTACAGGTGAAAAATACTCATGTATGAGAGCTACTAAGTACAGTTTAAGTCTTATACTGGCCAAAGAGCTTCTACATGATATACAATAAGAGTGTGTTGCCTTGATCCAGAAGACAATTGTGGTTTGGGGAGCAGATCATCTCACTCTTTCATTAACTGTTCAATTTTTTCCCAAGCTAGTCTCAATATTTTTGAGCAAGCGACAGGGTGAAAAAGTAAAGGGTGGGGTTAATCTTTCTAAACTCTGCTCTTTGTGATCCTCCAGCGTGGTGATGTAATTGACATCATCAGTAAGCCACCCATGGGAACATGGATGGGTCTGCTCAACAATAAAGTCGGCACCTTCAAGTTCATCTACGTGGACGTGCTGAGCGAGGAAGAGGAGAAACCCAAAAGGCCCGTGAGGAGGAGGAGGAAGGGCCGACCACCCAAGCCCACCTCCGTGGAGGAGCTGTTGGAGCGGATCAACCTCAAGGTAAAATACCAGACATGCTAGATTTGGTATAGACTTGTAGTGAAAGCCAAATTCAGTAGGTTGGATCTGCAGTATCATGTCTGTTCACGAGCTTTCAATGGCGGTAAAGTTGAGTAGGTTTACATAGATTTTTATCTCAACCTTGCAGAAATCAGTCCAAAAATCCCACTCCTCTGGCACCTCAGTAGGAGATATCGGATCTTAAGTAAATGAAAATATTATTTTAGCCATATATCTTTTTACCCAAATACCTTGAAAACACATTCGCTGACAAGCAGAGATAAATATAGCTCATTACAGGCTACATTACAGGCTGCACGCCTTAGGATGTTTGATCTGACACTGACGCATAAACATTAGCACCCACATTCTCACAACCACGCCCCAACAAAAAACTCACATCTGTCATCAAAACCCACTCATACCTGGGATGCTCCCCCTGAACAGAGAAAGAGACTTTGTGGGTTTGTCTGTTTTATCTCTGGCCAGCCTAATGGCTAAGTCACAGATTAAAGATTGATGTTACAGCACAGGCTTCCTAAGCTGCGAGTCTGTGAGTGTTACAAGTGCATTAGAGCAGTCATGTCCCCTTAGTCACCACCAGATTCCCAGAGTGGGCGAGTTAGACTAAACACATATAGAACATTGGAGATTTTCCAGTTTGCAGCCAATGTGCATTCTCTTACCAGGTGTTTGAACCGCTCTTTGCCTTCTAATAATGAAAAAGTAAAAATACATTCCAGTCCCATTGTTTTTCTTCATCCAAGATAAATGATCTTGTCAAGCGTCATTTATATTTGGTTATTCAACTTGTTGGACATAAGCTTTCCTTTTAGCATGAGCTGAAAAAAATGTGTTGCATGGTTGTGACACATTGGTTAAGATAGCTATGTAAATAAAACTAATTGGCTAAGTCTATATCTTGATTTTGTGAAGTTTCTTCTTAAATCAAGACTGTTTTTTTTTGTTTTTTTTACTACTTTTAAGGTAAGGAAGTTTTTCACACTGGCTGATTTTTAATTCTTGGCTCAAGAATCTCATGAGTCATTTTTGGTAAGCCTGCTGTAATTTTTTTTTTCATAAAAGTAAAGTAAAAGTAAAGTTGTTTGCAGAGAGGATTTTTTTTTTTTTTTTTGCAGCAATATGTAAATGCAAAAGTTTTACTGCTTTAAAGTGCCTCATTTATTTCCTGCATTATAGATATTTCCTTTTCTCAGCTGTCTGTCTTTTGACTATGTTCTCAAAAATCGATTGAGCTCTGTAGGCTTTGTAAAAACTATATGAGCTGTGATCGAGCCGTCACAGATCAAAGGCGTAAGAATATTGTTGTTTACTTTTGGTAAAATGATCAATAACATTTGGTTAATCTGGCGTGCCCCCCCCCCCCCCCAAAAAAAAAAAAAGAAAAAATTTGGAACCTGTAGAATTTTTTGGACTGGCTGTAAAGACAAAGGATGCTGTGGCTGAGAGGAGCCGGCTGCCTGTGTTTGTGTTAGTTGGTGGTCCTTTGTTTAGTCCTGCATCATCCAGCAGAAATAGAACAGAGACACACAGTTCTCTGCTGCGGACTCCACCATTGTAATTGACGGTCTTGCTGGTGACACACAGTCTATGTATTCGTCCAACAAAGTGTGTGGGTCACACAAACGTAGAGCCCAGTAATATCCAAAGTGGAAGCAGTTATGGGTGCTTGTGAATGATGGTGTCAGCTGACTGTGAACTCAAACAGGGCGTAACTGGAGTTTATACTTTGTTTTCTTTCTCTGTTCCCTCTTAGATAGCACAGTGGTTTGAGTGACTAGCTTTGGTGTGTGTTTGTGCTCGTGTGTAAAACACTGTCTCATGTGGTTGAGGAGTACTTTGATGCAAAGGTCTCCACCTTCAGTTCTTCGTGTTCCCACATCACTTTGGTGTGTTTCCCTTTCCAGTCCTGTTTGCCATTTTGGTCACAGCTAGAATATCTTGGGATTGTTGCTTTCACTTGTTTGCTGTAGCTAACTCATTAATGTTGGCTACAACTCACTTTTATATGCCTGTCAACTTGACAAAGTTTGTGCCATATTAAAGCTTGTTGACAGTTGAGCAGCCGTAACTGAATTAGCCATGGCTCAACTTGATTACATGCTGTCTAAATAGCAGTTTAGATTTGGCTCACCGGTGGTTTGAAAATACACAATGTGGATTGGAAATTATGAGCAGATGACAAATGTCTATTGTAAACTTTTTTTTTCTCCTTACTCTACCGCTTTATGTATTTCATGCTTCTACCACAAAGTTGTTGTCATTGATCCCATGACTCAGACCCAAAGTGTATTTTTCTTTAGTCTAGTGTATATTTTCTACAGTCTTTAGACTTCCTCAATCTTAGCACCGCAGAGGAAACTTTAAACTCAGACTGCACATTTCTTTTATCCAGGAGCACATGCCTACTTTCCTGTTCAACGGCTACGAGGACCTGGACACATTCAAGTTGCTTGAAGAGGAAGACCTGGATGAGCTGAACATCAGAGATCCTCAGCACAGAGCCGTGTTGCTCACCGCTGTAGAGCTGCTACAAGAGTATGACAGTAAGTAAACGTGAAAACATTTTGGATTGGAGTGAAGACACTCAGTTGATGAGTCTTAACTCGCTCAAACAACCTGCCTGTTTGAAAGATGCATTATAATGTATGGGTCAATTAAAGTACTCTGCTCACATCCTGGTGATTATTAGGAATTAGCACCAAAACTGATTCTGTTTTCCTAAGAGTAATACCTGCACAGTATGAGTGTGTCTTAATGAAACAAAGACGCCATCTTGGAAGCTCTGTCAACAACTTGCACTCTAATCTTATGGTAATACAACTGAAGCAGTTGTTCAGCTGCAGTGGTTTCTTCCAATTACTTTTCATGCTAAAAACGGCAGCGTACAGTTCAGCTGCGTGCCAAAGAAACATAAGCGTGAATGAAAATCAACCAAACTTCAAAACTTAATGGCGAGAGATTTTAGTTTTCGCATGAAAACAATGACAAATTAACAGGATTTAATACTTTTAAAATCAAGGGAAACCATTCAACCCTAATTCCGATGACGATGCCATTTTCTTCATGTCTTTGTATTTTCAGGCAGCAGTGATCCAGAGCGCAGCGGCCTTTCGGGCTCCCAGGAGAAGCTGCTGTCTGAGGGTCGGGGTCTGGTGGGAGACTCCCCGCGGGACTCCGGTTGCTATGAGAGCAATGAGAACCTGGAGAATGGTAATGATAGCTTTGCTTAGTGTAGACCGCCATTACCCAAGGACCTAGCTAAGGCCTAGCTGGGTGTAGCGTAGTCCTAGTGCCACAGTGACTCCTTCGCCTTTTTCCTTTCTGGGCTTCCACCTCCGCTCCATCTCTTGCTATGCATCTGCGCTCTAACACCCCGCCCATCTCACTCCTCTGGACCAGCATCTGCCAATCAAACAGCTCCTCTTTCTGCCACATCTGCCCAAAACCTCACCCGCACACACCTTTTACCCCTTACACAGGAAGAGTCCCTTGTCACTTTCAAACATTCTTATCTTCTACTACTCTTTCACGCCACTTTCTTCACCACTCTTTTCATTCTATAGGCACTCTGTATCATCAGTGCCCAAGTCCACTTGTTACTGAAAGGGAGCCAGGCCCCAGACCACAAAGCCTAGTCCACCACACATTGCTGGGAGCACAGAGGGAGAGATGCTCCCCAATGCACAGAACTGTTCTGATGAGAGCACACTCACTGCCCAGTCATGGACTCAGATTCCCAGCTCTCCCACCTGTGGCTGCAAGGCCGGTAGACGGATACCAGGAAGATGAATATGGGCTCAGAGAGTATTTCTGTTAAATGTTTTTAATATAGAAAAAGAGCTTGCAGAGTAGCATGTCAAAAATGCCTGTTTATTTGCAGTGGTGATTCTATTGGCTGATTAAGGTTTTTGAAAAATGTACAAGTCAGGTAAACGATTCACAGCTGCCATTTAAATCTCCTGTCTTCGTAGCATTTCTAGATGTCACTTTCCTTGTGTTTATAGTGATCATATTGCACAGTCGAACAGTATGTGCCTAAAACAAGATGTGGATGAAAATATTTTTAAATTGTAGTGCATAGATTGTAAGAGAGTTCTGATTATAGAAGTTTATTGAGGTCTTATTTGTGATATTTGTTAATTGTTTTTTTTGTTTTTTTTAAAGACTGCTCTATCTCTCTGCATAAGACTGTATGCTTTCTTCTGCCACACAGATCATTCTTTTTAACAGCCCCATAACTCATAAATCACTGCTTTGTCAAACCTTGTCTTCTTTCTATATCTGTTTGATCCCATTGTTAACTACTGGATTTCCCTTTTGTGTGTGTGTGTGTGTATGTGTCATTCAGGTTTAACAGTGAAGTGTGCAATATGCCACAGTAGAGATTTAAGTTGTGGAATAAAAACCACTTCTTTAAAAAAAAAAAAAAAAAAAAAAACACCAAAAAACATAAAAGACTCTGGGGCTGCTTGCTTGATTTTTATGTTTCGCCTTTTTTACTGTCTGTTTTTCCTTCCCTGCCACTAAACACTGTTCACAAACTAGCCGCATAACATTTAGCAAACATTCTGCATTTCTTCTTGCTCTTTCAGGGTTCCACAGTGCTGCTATAAACACAGTAAAGCCACAGCATTCACTAGTATGAAGAATTAGCAAAGGAAAACATTCCATTTGAAATCAAATCATTGAAGGTGATTAAAAATCATTGCACAGATTGAGTCTTTAAAACATTCTCCATTGGAGAACAAAATAGCACTGTAGAGCCTTGAATGTATGCTCTTTTAATCAATAGACTTTCTTCAACATACATGTGTCTGATCAATTTTCCTGTGACTATATGTCATAATTCTTCCTTGTATCATCACATGACCTCTGTAATCTATCTACCTTCAGTTGTCATGTTCATATGCGTACATAATGTGGTGATGTACTGTATTGGTCAGTGGAAAAAAGGAAAGGCAGGTAATGAAGATATTCAGACCGTGAAACCAGTCTAACATGAGTCATTATATCAAAATATAAAGAATCTCTTTATTTTGAAATTTACTATATAAGTTTGGTCAAGTTCATTACACTCTACAGTGTTATTGTAATATGTGCGTCTATAAAACACATTGTAGACACAATTTTAATGTATAATTTGCCATCGATGATGTAATACAATCCAATAGCACATCGTCACTTTTACTGGTTTTGAAGTATGTCTCACTGGACACCCAGCCGACCTCATTCTCCTCTGATTTCATGTCTGGAGATGAACACTGTAATTAAAGTAAATACAGTATCTCTTGGACCTGCCAAGTCAGTTAATTTATTATATTCCCTTGTAAAAGGCAAGAGCAAATACACCAATATTCTCAACTTTTATTTTTGGCATTTCTGGGAACTGTTGAAACATTTTCATGACATTCCATCTATTGAATCTCTTTCTGTCATTCCACCACTTAAAGTCTTTGGCAAGCCACACTATGTGGCATCCACCCATTTCATCCATCCATTTTGCTCTGTAAGCCAAAGGATAGATGGTAAGTTGCTTCGGCTTTTTTGTACCAATGTTTCTGAAATATCCCATCCAGATCTCTTTATTTTTGGGATTGCTGCTATGACAACAACAAATCAGCCAGTTTGGTCATGAGTCAAAGAGCTTATCTTATCCCAGTGGCACTCCACCCCTTCTCCATAAACATTTCTCTGCTTTTGACTGGTTTACAGATAAGCCTGAAACAATACAAATGTAAAACTTATGTGAGTAGATTTTTTTTTTATATTAAACTGACTTGGCTTTGGCAGACTTGTTAAAAATAATTGGTGCTGTGAACATGTTTTCTAAAGATGCAAACATTTCACCACATCAGATTTCTCTACTGTTGCCAAAGCTGCTGCCATCACAGGAAACACAACAAAGTAAAACAATGGGGATGAAAGGCAGTAACCGAGTAAACTGAGTCATATGCAGTCTATTAATATGCATCATATTGTGTATTGATGAAGGCGCTGCTGTAGCAAGCTGGAGAATGAGGGACTTATTTCCTGTTTGAGAAACACTTTTTTAGCAGTCAAGAAATTTGGTGACGCTAGGTTGAAGATGAATATTTTTATTTTGCAGGTAAGAGCAGGAAAGCTTCCCGTTCCAGTCGTTCTTCAGCAGGCCTCCAGTCTCCAGACTACCCTACCCTGCCCATGACCCTTTCAACAGAGGCTCTGCAACAGAACAGCAAGAACCAACGCACAAAGTTCCCGAAAAGCTTCTTTATCAAATCCTCCCTGAAGGGCTTCAACCTGCTGGGGCTGCGCAAAGCCCAAAGACAGTCCCCCATCCCGGCCAGCCGCAGCTGTGAGGACCTGGATGGACCCCCACAGCCCACTGGACCGTGGAAACGCTCCCACTCTCTGGGAGATCTGCACTGGGAGCAGACTTATGAGCAGAAGAAAGACTTGGGTGAGGAGTTGAAACCCACCAAGGAAGGACTCAAATCAGGCAACAGTAGCCCCACCAAGGTCCATAGAGACGACAGTGCCCCACCGCAGAATGGGCCTCCAACAGTGAGCCCTAAAGGAAGAGCTGAGAGACCGCCCATACCCTCCCAGCTGCCTCTCCGCCCCACTTGTCCCACCCCCCAGTCCCCAACTCACCCAGAGCCCCTCTCCAGTCCAACTCCAAGTCCCCCTGAGTCTAGTGGGGAGAGGGTCATTCGGACTCACCCCAAAAAGCCTCCAGTCCCTCCTCCCGTTCCTGCCAAAAAGTCTAAGGAAAGACTAGCCAATGGCTTACGTCACCCCCCTCTCTCCCTGCCCTCCTCGCCATCTCCCACACCCTCCCCGACCCACTCCCTCACCCGTTCTCACCCAAGTAGCCCCATAATCCGAAGCAGCAGCAGCAGCCCCAGCGCCCCTGCTCTACCTGCCAAGACCCCGAGCACCCCTGCCAGCCCCTGTGCCACCTCATCAGCCTCATCCATGGGTGATGAGTCAGGCACTCCCCCAGCAGTCCAGCCTCCTTGGCTCTCAGATCTCGGGGGCAAGGTGGCTGTTGCAAGAAAAGTTTCCCATACCAAGATGAGTCCTGACCTGCTCACCCTGCTGGAACAACGGCTGGAGGCCGAGGGAATCGATCTGACTGAGGAACCCTACTCTGACAAGGTCAGTAAAGTATCATCCATCCAGAATTCTGACCTTTTATTAAAAGCACCAAAACTTACAAATACTTCCAGAAGTTTTTGTAGTAGGTCGTAAGGTGTGGAGATGAGGTGAGGAATTCTAAACCACATCTTAGCTAATGCATAACAAAAACTTATGAAGTCATGTTTCCATGGTTAGTGTGAAAATCGGACTCTAAGACACCTCGGGGCTATACTTGTCTGGCGTCAGGCTCTTTTGGTTTAGTATTGTAACATGCCTAACTTAACTCAGTCATAATTTGACTGCAGCTTGGATCCAAATTGCTTTGTGTTTAGGCCAACAACATCAGTGGCTTGCTTTGGAGCTCATTTAATTCAAAAATAGACACTAATAGAGTCTAAAGTTTGTGTGTTTCTTTCTGTGTGCAGATGCCTTTTTGTATGCAAGGGCATTTATTTGTGAGCGAGGGTGAGTGGGTGTGTGTGTATGCGCGATAATAAATACACTGCCTGGAGCTGAGGGGGAAAGACTGTGGGTTGAGTTTCACTATGATGCGGTTGAGACTGTTAAGTTTATGGGCTGGATCTTACTGAAGGCAGACGGGGTTATAAAATCCTCTGCCACTCGCCAGACCCCAGGCTGGGCCCCTTTAACATGGCGGAGTCCCCGACACTGGCAGGAAAACAACATACACACACAAACACACATAGACATCAAGGGATGAGGTGAGAAATAACATCTTAGACCACAGCACAGCACAGCTCTGCTGGATTCCTATTAGTCACAAGTGGATTGGCAGAGACATGAGAGGCACGCTGCTGCTGCAGTAGCAACATGTAGGGTTTCAGTTTTCATGTGGTCACTGGTGTCAAATGACATACAGGTCCAAAGTTTTTCAAACAGCTTCCTCGTATTTGTTAATTAAACTGCAATTAATTAAAAAATATTTTTTATAAAAATCATAATTTGTGCTGGGTATCAAACATCAGTAACAACTAAAAACATCAGATGCTTGGTTTGAATGCTTTTGAATCACGTCTTTATAAGATATTTGCTAATTATAAATTAGGAAATCAGCAAACTTTATAAGCGCAGATGCACTGACAGGTGTGGTATATTTTGTTAAATTGAAAAAAAAAATCGTTGTAAGAAAAATATGTTTGTATTCCTCAAACTAAGCTGTTAAAAAGTATTTTTTTTGTAAAGTTACCAAATCTCAGTTATCATATTGGCAAGGCAGGGGGTATAATAAATGCAGTATAATCCAGGTAGTGTGGAGGGTCGGCTTGTGTGACCTGCTTTCCATCCTTCTCTTTGGAGGGATCAGTTCCTCCATCCACCCACCCTTTCATCCTCCGGTTCAGTGTGGCCAACCAAAACCAGGCCTTGTTGGAAACCTGCCAATGCTCCAGGTGTAAACACAAAGAGAAGGAGAACAAGCAAACCTGTCCTTTTACAATTTTAAGCACTTTCAGTTCTCTGCCCTGCTTTTTCACATAGTCCCTGCAAATACTATTCTTAATGACCTATTTTTACAAACCTTTATGTTCTTTTCTGTTGTGTTGTTAACAGCAGAAATATGCATACAAAACATGGTGTAGCATGCACATGCAGTGTTAGCGGCAACAAGGATTCGATTTTGGGTGATTTTCTGCATAGGCAGCGGAACAAAATAAACTGATATTTTTTTACAAAATTCAATTATACTGTCTACTTCTCTAGTGTCTTTGTCTTAATTTTTCCCTGACTCCCTTTAGAATTGTATTCATTACCTTGCCAGAAGATGTTTTCTATTTTTGATATACCATAATGTGTTCTTTAAATCATATATTGATGTGGTTTAAATGTACTCTTATTTCCGTATATACATCTTTAATGTCTCTTTTTACACTTTCCTCTCACCAGCATGGTCGGTGTGGGATCCCTCAGCCGCTGGTGCAGCGTTACTCTGAGGACTTGGAGCAGCCTGTCAAGGACGTGGCCTCCACCATGGACCAGCTCCGAGTCAAAGAGCTCCGTAAACAACACCGCATGGCTGTAAGACAACAAAACTGATTTTCCAAAGTGCTTCATATCACTGAAGACAATTTTGGAGTTATAGTTATAGAGCTATAGATAAATGCTTAGTGAGGCTTAATGACTGCTTAGTGTGTAACAATGCAGGCGTGAAAATAGGCCAGTTGTGTCACTTATTTCCCTGTATCCAGGGCTGGCGCCATCACTGAGGAACAGCGCAAATTGTGCTTAAATATTTAACAACCCAGCTAAATGTGGCGATATACTTTTTTATACTTAAGTGGCCTAAATTTAACTCAAGATAATAAAGATAATAATGTCCCATAGCTTTACACGATTTGGCAAAAAATAAAAGGTAAGGAACACAGCTTGTACTGCCAAAGTTTTGTCACCGCACAGAGGAGGAGGAGGAGGGGGAGGTAATGTAACTAATGCTGTATTGTCCAATTGTGTCACTCAGATCCCCTCTGGAGGCTTGACAGAGATGTGCCGAAAGCCTCTGCCCTCAGGTAACATCAACACGGTCTCTGATTGGCTCATCTCCATCGGCCTGCCCATGTACGCCACGTCCTTGGCAGCGGCGGGGGTCGACACGCTGAGTCGTGTGGCCTTGTTAACAGAGAGCAGCGTGTGGGAAGCTGGGGTGCGCGATCAAAGACACGCCCGCCGGCTGGTCAGTGAGGCACGATTGGTCGGCGCGCACAGAGAGGTGCAGTCCTAACCATGTTGGAGTCAGCTTGGATAAACAGGTATCAACTCACTGGTCAGTACCGTCTCATTTAAACATGGTCAGTAGGTGGCCAAAGGCAAATTGGCCACAGGTCTGAACTACCACGCAGGTGACCACAGCACTACAGTACTTCCTGTCTCGCACGTGTCAAAAGACTGACAGTGAGACACTCTGCTCTCTGATTTTGTCTCTATCGTTCTGACTTTTTCTCAAATGTTTACGGCATTTAGGAGTTTCTCCTTTCAGCCAAGACAAGATATCAGATGCCTTTTTAAAAAAAGAAAGACTGTAGACTCATGCTGTGGGATGACTTTCATTCTGAAGACACCCCCAAAGTCTTAAAATAAAGACCTGGATCTGCCTTTAAGGAAGATAGCACACTCTTTTGTAGGACGGATGTTTTGTTTTGTTTTTTGTTTTTTTTGTTTGTTTTTTTTTAAATACAGAAAGATGGTTTATTTCCTGCATATTTCATAAGTGCTCCATTTTCATCTTTTGTGGCAAAGCAACATTATCTGAGGGTCTTTTAAGGAAGTAGCTCGGCCAAAGTGATTTCCTTCGCACTCAGCTTCTCATTCCCACTAATAGGTTCATAATGACGATGGCAGAGTTCGCTCAGTGTCTGGACTTCTAATCCACTAAACAAAAAAACAAAAAAATGGTGGTTTTGAGATGGCTTATTTTGTATTATGTTTCTGTATTATAGCATAATGCATATATTAATTTTAAAATGATTTATATGGTAAAAATTTGTGTTTTGCCTTTTGAATGTTGCAGCCTTATTTTGAGGCCAGCTCTCAGTCATTTCTAAGCTGAAACAGCTGACGTCACACCTTTATATTTCATATTATACTCTATGTCCTATTTTACCGCGAATCTTGGATGCATATCCAGCTCCAATATGAATACAAGTCTTACATAAAGCTCTGTTTTACTCCAGTTATCCCAGTCAGCTTTCATAGCAACAATACATTCCCTGTGTATCCAAGGACATTTTAAGTTGCCTTAAATGAATGACTAGCTGGAAGAAATAGAACTTGTAGTGTTGACTTGAGACTGAACTGTGCTAAAGATGGACGCCTTTTCTTCGGAATGTGTCGAGGTCTGAGGAATAATTGAGACACAGGTTTTATGAACTCACACACACACAGATCATATACATGGATGTGGACCACTGAACATGCTTCTGAGGGATTGTGGTTTTTTATTCCTGGGAAGCTCAGATGATAAACCGCAGCACCACAGGAACGACACAGACGTCACCGCATGTTGAACATCCCTTCACCCTGTTCAACGCGTTCGCTGGACGTGTTCCATGCAGAAAGGGGTGGGACAGGGGGACAGGAGGAAATAAAAGTGTTCCAAAGACACAGCTGGCATCTGGGCTGTCATATCTGGGATTTATTGGACTGTCTACACTTTGGTTACAGCGTAGAGAAATTTGATTTATAGCTGGATAATAACCAGTTTGGGACTTTTTCGCCGCATTATACTGTAGCTATAACTAATGCCAGTCTGAAATTCTTGATTGGACATTTGCCAAACACATTGAGGGTAGATGGAAAGAGCAGTTATATCAGGTGAAAAGCTGACCTCCAAGGTTCAGCGTACACTATGACAGTAAAAAGTCTTGAAAATCAGGGAAACACTGAGTCGGGTCAGCCTGTTACTTTGGGCCAAAAACTAAACTGAAAACACCCAGAAACTCTTTCATTTGCAGAATATTCCTCTTTTTTCTAACAGTAAAGTTCTATCTTTCATAGCTAGAACTGAACTGAAGACTTATTCCATGGATTTCATATTTAAATTTGACAAAGTGTTATTGCTAAATTGCAAATTGCTTTTTCTTTTTTTTTTCTTTTTTTTGTTGCAGTGGGCACTTGATAGATAGATAGATGTTTGATGCCTTTTTTCTCTTCAATCAAAGTGGTGCTCTGGGAAACTGAGGACAGGGGGTCATTATCAAAAAAGTAAAAGACCCAAGAAGTGTTTTGTAAAGAATGAAAATACTGACACTGTAAATGCACTTTAGAGGGTAAATCTAGCTGTTTTTATAGGTAAAATTGGCTACATTTTGTTCACAGGTCCATTAATGGACATCTGTTGTCAGGTATTGTAAAGGGTTTTAGTGGGTTATGCTGGTATTTTAATTTAGTATTGAGTTCCCAATGCCAAGTTTAATAACAATTCACGAGTTAACCTGTTCCAGTTACTTACTTCCAGTTTGTTTTTGCAGTCTTACAAAAAAATTAATTCTTAATTACATATATGAAATGCTTAGCAGAAGTTGCACATTCTGTATATGTAATTGATATTTAAATAACTTATTTTTGCTTTTTTTTTTCATATCAACTGTAATTAGCTGTACTATATGAATAGCAATACCTTCCTGCATAATGCATATTGCTTTAGCCAGTGAGGAACTACAGTATGTATTGTAAAATATGTGTACAAATTATTTTATTTGGTTTTCATCTACTTAATGATTGTCCATACAGATTTGCTTGTGTATTGAAACAACAAAAGTAATGTCCATAACTATTTGTCATTCTGAAATATAATAAAAAACAGTTTCTTGCCATATGCTGGCCTTCTGATTGTCACTGTGCACTTCGCCTCCTGGCTCATTTCATCATTGTGGTTAGCTGTGACACTGCACATTGGCCTGTTGATAACTCTCTGAATTATATTTTAGAAATGAAAATGAAAAAGCATGTCTGCACAAAAAAAATTAATAACACCAGTCTAGATTTGATTAAAACCGGTCTTTCAAACATGTTATTTTATTCTTAGCTTCTTTTCTTTGTCTTGCATCTAATATTAATTTTATTGGGTTTGGTCCAAAAGGAAAAATGTAGGACAATTCTGTAACCTTGCTGGAAAGTGTAGAATACAGTATCTCTGAATAACAACTCCTCTACTTTGTGTCAAAAGTTCCACTGGTATAGTTCTCTGAAACCAAGAAGCTTAAAAACAGTGTTGTTGTGTCTGACTCATTAAGAAAACTATACACATGTTCTTTGGACCAAGACAGTGTGTTCCTCTGCAGCTTTATCCTTCAGGTCGACTGCCTGTCTGGCTCTTGTTGCAGAGCAGCTGTTGTCAATGAAAACACGCTGAGGTTTTCTAGACTTATTCATGTCAAGGAACCCCAAACACAGTAGGTACGCAGCAGACCGTGGACCCCAATTTGATAAAATTTCATTCCACAGGACAGCATCTGAGAAGATTTTCCTTGCATAGCTTCAAGCTCAGCTTGTGTTTGGCTTTCTGACTGGAAACACACACAGATGCAACTGAACAAGCATATCCTTCAAGAAGAATAAAGGGCACTTCCTTTTTAGACTGTCTTAATTTACAGGCTGCTATTGCTTTTAAAAGAAAAAAAAAAGGAAGAGCCGCAGTACAATCATTTTCCTTCGTACAGCTGTAATGAGCAGTTAGCATCCACTTCCCTGCTCTTTCTGCAACGGATATAATTACTCATCAAATTTAAAATGATCTCAGGACGAAGATTGTCTCTCTCAGCTTACTTGGCATTATTGTGCTGACTTCTGCAGGGTTACAGTACGTTTATTAGACCTATGGTGAGAGCTCCCTAAAACTTCTGTGGGAGATTCACAATATATGCATGATATCACTCTAACATGCCTTGATATAACTTGGTCACTGCATACTTCATCATTAATGAGCATGAACAATTAACAGATTATAATGTCACAGGGAACTGAGAAGAGCTCTTATGATTACACAGATGCCTGAGTGCACTAATAAACTGTAAATCTCTTGCTTCTTGTTCCCTGCTGAGAAGCAAAAACTAACTTATTCCTCTAAAAGTTTGCGGTGTAAGTTAAGTTTATTTTTGTATTAGAGGGCAAATCCAGCAATCTGAATTTGTAGCTCCCAGGGTTATTACCTCTGCACCTCCTATTGATTCTTATTATGGTAGAGGAAACTCAATTAAGGAACATTTAATCTAAAGGTGGTGCCAAAATGAGGTTCATTTCTCTTGCTCTCCTGCTATGTTTCCAACAATATTATTTGTGCTAATATGACTTCAGTAGTGTTCAAAAAAACCTTGAGGAGCCACAGGTGGACAGACTGTGTTTACTGAAGCTGTGAAATTTTGCAAACAGCACATCCAGAGGAACTTCAGTTGAATTCTATCCCCAGGATATTAGAAACTCGTACGCAGAGCTGACACATCCTGAGGCACCGAGTTACTGATTTAACAGCTAAAACCTGGATCACACATCTGAACTTATTACACTTTGCACTCTGTCTCGGTTGTTGTGTCTGTGTGGAGTTTGTGTGTGTGTTTCTTCCAAGTACTCCAGGTTTTTTTTTTTTTTTTCCAAAGGTCCAAAGACTGGTTATCTGTTGTCCCTACAGACTGGCAAGCTTGATGCATTGATGGATGATGTACATTAAAAAGATATTAAACCATCAGAAATGATTTGGTTTAAAAAACCTTATGGCCAGATGTTATGATTAGACTAAACCTGATTTACTGCAGTGACCGTACTGACATCCATACTGTAGTACTGTGTAACAAACTCCCATGCTGCATGGGCGGATTGGGCTGGCAGGGGTGTAAACCTATAATGCATTCATCCTAATTGTGCCTAGCTTGCAATATGCAGTGTACTGTACTGTGCTATTTACAATTCATTTACCTGTAGAAAAGCCAAGGCAATGGCCCTCAACAGAATGATTCTGTTCCTCTTTGTAGCCTTTGGTCTGTGAAGCTAAATAGTTTTTAACAACCACTGTTGCTCCCTTGACTACTGTAGCTGTCACCAGGGAAAGCAGCTCAGCCTCTTGGATGAGGTAGTCACTGTGCTGAATGACTGCTTTCGCCTCCTAAGTGCAGGTGTAGTCTAATTGTGGATTCTAGCCCTGCGGTGGGAAGATATATGGCTCAGTGTACAGTCCTCACAGCTGGCCTGAGGGGAAAGAGAAAGTTTAAAACACACACACAAACTTGTACTTCTTCTTCTTTCTGAGGATACTCTGATATAATGCATTTTCTAGCACCTTATCCTAACCCTTACCATCTCAATTGAATGCCTAACCCAAACCCTTCGCCTAAAACCAACCTAAACCTGATACTAAACCTGACCCTAAAACCAAGTGTTAATCCTCAAACAGCCTTTTAAAAAGAGTGTCAGAAAGTGAGGACCGGCCGAAATGTCCTCACTCTCCCAACATGTCCCCACTCAATGAACCAGCAGCCTGATCCCACCAGTTACTTTTCAACACAACTTCTTCCACCACTTCACACCGAGAATACAACACTGTGATGTGTCCGTTGGCATTTTAACGTCATGTGATATCTCACAATTATCTTCACACTTACTGATGTTGACCTGGAATCAGCGACTGTCTAGGCTGCTACGAATCAAACTCGTTTCCATGAATGTCCACTGACTGATATGCCCCTCTCTCCCTGACCACTGGGTGACGCTGTTTTACGCGCCGCAATCCACACCGAATCCTCCTGTATGAGGTGGAAGTTTTTCCTCTTTCCACGTTCAGTAATCTGACACCCAGAAGACTCGGAGCAGAAGGATGGACCCTTAACTCTGCTGGAAGGACGGAAGGAAGGAACAGTCATCCTGCGAGCGCAAACGAGAGAGACCGAGCAGAAGCGAAACGCCTGTGCGCAACAAACAACCCCGTGGCTGCGGCAGCGGAGGAGAGCTGGGTCTCCAAAATAACTGGCCGTCCGCCTCAAATGATCTCAAAGCGACAAGTTTCACTTTCCACAGGCGGATGGGTGACTTTCCACGGCGCTTTGTGAGGAGGAGATGATGAAGAATTTCAGCAGCAGTCCCCTTCACAGCAACAGCCAGACTCCCAATCACATCAGAGAGCGAAACAACAGAAAGTATAGCTTACTCTCTACCATACCGCTGCGATTTTCCCTGCGAGGCTATGGTTTCTGCATGGCTACGCTGTTCCTCTTCTGTTTCGGCTCCCTATTTTACCAGCTGAACGGAGGACCCCCTAAAATCCTGCTGGACATCCGACAGTATCTCGGTAAGAACTTTTTATTTTCCTCTGCTGGCTGAAGCGCGTCATCAAGTAGATTCTTTTCAATAAAAGTTGCACATGTATCTTTAGCCCCCCCCCACCCCAGCCCCCACCCCTCTTTGATGGGACGTGTAAAAGAAAGTTTATTCATAACGAATAAGATCATTACCTCTCATTCACCGCCGTCTCCACCGGAGGCCACAGCGTCCCATCGACCCCATTCACCCCAGATGGGTTATCTTCTTGTCCTCACATCATCCATAATCTTTAAACCATCCAACAGGAGTCATGTGAAGTTGCTGTAGACTGACGCATATCTTCATAAGAATGTGAGAATGTGCGCAACTATCTCATCTAAAATATTAAATTCCCCCGATATCTTAGAGTTTGAAACTTTTCAGAGCAAAGCCTGAGGAATGCGCTCTCCTTCGCACCATCTGAATATCAGTTCTGACTTGTTGGAGCATGATTGAGATCTATTATGGTAACATGAACTTAGCAACTGTTAAGGCTGATACTGTACGTGGATGGTGACTGACACCTCCGCTTGTACAGCCTGCTGGTGCGCTCCTCTCAGCCGCACGGCGCTCATTACGCACGACTGGCACCGCTGGAACAAGGCGCAATAGTGTTCTAAAAGCTGAATTTATGCTGTTTTTTTTTGAGACATCCAAGCGCGTTTCTGTAAATGAGCCGGTGAAAAGCATGGGCACGAGGTTTTCCAGTTTAGAATATGATATCCTGAAGGAACACTTGGTTTAGATATGACTTGGAACTGCTATATTACTGTCATTGCAATATGCAGGGTGATAACAAGAAGAGAGTGGATATGTGTGTGGCTACATCTGCTTCGGTAGTCCTTACAATAGCATGTATGTGTGTGTTTGTGTGTTCATGTGTGACCTTGTGTCCTAAAACCAGCTGATGCTCTACAGAGAGTCAGATGCAGAGGTGATTTTATCAACATGTCAAAGTGTGTGTGTGTGTGTGTGTGTGTGTGTGATTGTGTGTGTTGAAAGGAGGTTGTGTTCCTACCTATTTCTTACAGAGGGCTTGAGGCCTTTATGACGTGATAAACATCTGGAACAGAATGAGAGTCACTCACCAAGTCAGCCACTAATCCCGTGGGTCAGATTGGTTTCCTGTAGACACACACACTCACAAACACACACACACACACACACACACACACACACTGTAACACATGCATACATGCACACGTGCCTGCATACTCCATCTGCACAATCCTGTCAAGAAATCTTTTTGATTTGATTTAGTTCAGTGTTGCAAAACATAAACCCAGACAGTTTTTTTCTGGTGTGAAGTTTCTGCAGAATGTGAGAAAATATTTAAACAATTAAGAAGCCAGTTTTTTTATAGTTCTATATGGGGAGCATTAATACTTTGCTGGGAAATACAAGTTGATTGCCTGAGCAGACTCTATATACACTGCACACATTCGCTCTGATGAAACTGTGCAGCCTAATGTGATTTAGAAATTGCAGCAGTCGATGCCTGTTCATTCTATTTTAGAGTAATTGCATAAAGCTAATGCGCACACAGATAGCCTGTAATGTCTCTTACTTTCTCACTAAGCAGCGCCCTGATTCTGAGAAGTGCTTTATAACCTGAACACACACACACACACAAAGACACACACACGTTTAAGTGATCAGCTGAATCTTGGACACACCAGCAAACACCGTCATTTTTAAAACCCCCAACAGACTGAGACAAACACATTTTGTGCACCATCAAAATCCACCAGCAATCAGCCATGTGCGGACCACGAGGGCGAGGAGTCCCTCTATTAGAAGATGAATGAGTGTCTGGGGCCACCTGCGTGACGCGATCTTCACTGCAGCTCCGCACAGTAGACCCTGAGGGCCCGAGCCTTGTCAAACACTGACTCCTCTATACTCTTCAGGAGTGGGGGTTCCTTATGTAACACTGACACATCTACAGTGTAGCACCTCCACTGGGACCTGGATGAGTAATCTTCTCCGCTCATTACGACGCTGAGGCGGAGGAGAAAAGACTTTGTTTCTGACTGCAACAAGGGACACCGTTTAAGTGGTAATATGAAATTACAAGCAGCAACTAAACTTCATGTTTTGGATAGTCTTCTGATTCCCGAGCCGTAGTCGAGTGGCAGGATCGTGATGGAAAAATAAAGCATTGTAGTGGATTCTGAAAAGGTTGGTTGCTGGTTGGGAGACGAGAGGGCCTTCAGATGTGGTCTGCTCATTGTCTTCATACTGAATGAAACCGTGTTGTCTTGAGTACTTGAAGGAGAGAATAGAGAAATCTGGTCGAGAGGAGGGAAGGTGAAGATCTTTGCTGTGCTGAATCTCCTTGTGCTTTGTTGGCAAAATAGCCTGTGCCGGCGCTTTGAAAAGAAAGTTCGGAGGAAAGTTATTTTCGCATATAACTTCACCTTCCCTGGTTTCTCCCTTTGTCACCTTCACCCATGTCAATTACAGACACACTCTGTTCCTCTCCACCCCAGTCTCTCTCAGTCTTCACTCGCTCTGTGTCATAGATCGATGTGTGAAACAGCTTGCCACGTGACTCAGAAACTGGATGCAAACTCCTGAAAATGCTGTAGGGGATTTTTTTTTTCCCTCAACAAGAGGAATAAATTAGAAAATTCAGCATTAATAATCCTCCTCCTTATGCATACTGCATGTGTGTGAGCAGCCTCCAATGAGCAACCAGTGATTAGTTTATGATTTATTTACCTTAAGCTGACTTTTGTTACTTTTGGCTGCACTGTGCCAAGATGAAGGTGTGGATTCCTGGTGGGGTAAGTGAATGTGGGTGTGTATGTGGAGGAGAGCAGTAGGTTGATTTTGTGCAAGTGTGTCTTAAGTGTGTGTGCTTCTCTCAGTCACACACACCGCAGAGGGAACAGAGCCTGTTTTGTTTGGGCCAGCGGCGAGTTTGGTGTCTGAGGGTGTCACTCAACATATAGCTGCAGCAGCTAAAACGGCGTGCAGACCTTTAGACCTGGATTTACAGCCTGCCCGTCGATGTGTGTTCTCCATCACCGACTTTCTCTCACACTTTCTCTGCCGCTCTTTCCCTCTCACACACATCCATGCTGATATTCCCTCAAACAAACCTCCATTTGAGGGATGTGTCCGTGTGCGCCTCCATGTGCGAATGCACAATCACACCTGACTGTGTAGCAGATTCCCCCAGACGTTTGACTTGGCTCGGCTGTAAGGTCTCTGACACATGATTAAATTCATTGTTTTTTAGAAAAGTTGACAACTTGTTTCACTGCTGTAGGCCACCTTGACTGTTAAATAGTCAGAGAGACACGGGTAAAACTGAGCTGAATGACAAATTGGCTGTGATTAGTAGTCAGTCAGGAATCGTTTTATAGAAGTAACTGCCTCCGTTCCTGTTGAAAGCGCAACATATAACAGAAATATGAGATTGAATATGAAAGGATTTGGCAAAGGCTGGACCCTGCCAGAGATCGAAGCCATGAACTCTCTCCATTCACATGCACCACATGCCATATATCTCTGCAGTGACATTTGAAAACGCTAGTTGACTGTCAGCGTCCTCTTGATCTCGGGGATTTTGAATGCAATGATGAGAAAACGAGTATGGCTGTTCTGTGATATCGCACGCCGTCCTCTTGTAGCTCCTTGGAGTTGAGAGAACAAAACAGAGAGAAGGATCTAGAATTTTTCTCTGTTCTCTCAAATCTTCCACTTACTGAGCTGGATCCTTAAGGATTAGTCAGCATACGCAGTGCGCTGAGTTCTCAGATATGTGGATGGATGTAACAGATTTTTAAGGACACGTAAGCACACAGGTCTTCCTCTGTGTTTGTGTGTGTGTGTGTGTGTGTGTGTGTGTGCGTGTGTGTGTGCGTTGTTACAGTTCCCAACTCCCCTACCATAAATCATAAACGCTGAACGGTGTGACTGTCAGTCTCTCACTAAGCATTGCTCTGCTTCTCAAAAGAACTTTGTAACCTTAAAACACTCACACACATAAATTTAACTCACCAGAAACTGGCAGGTAAAGTGTGTGAGTTGCAGGGCGGTGTTGGGGATTACACAGGTATGTGTGGACACAGAGGAAGGTTCAGGATCTCTCTCCTCCCTCCAGTTTCTGTCTTATTTACAGCAATGCTGGGCAGGAAGTGGTTGAAAGCAAACTTTTTAAGTGAATTCAAATAAAGTTTAGTTTGGCTTGTATGAGTAGTGCTACCAATAAACTTCAACAAGTATATAAAGAAGAAGAGTGTGAATGAGAACAGAAGTCTGTCGCTGACCGACTGAGTGATAAGGTTACACCACTGGTCGGCCGGCTGAGTCTTGGAGTTTCCCCATTGGTTGTTGCGCTTTCAAAATGTTTTAGCGCGAACAAGCGGTATTGACTTTTCAGACCCCTTTAGCAAAATCACCTAGCAACAAATCTAGCGACCTTTTGGACAAATCTCAGCTACTTTCTGTAGAAGAGTGACGCCAGTATTGCTCTACAAGCATGAGGTTGGGCTTCTAGCTTTCTCTGAGTCATTTTTTTTACAGGCAAATGTAGCTGAAATCACAACGCAACCTTTGTCTTTAATTTATGTATTTGGTGTTTTTGTCAGACGACCTCCCAGTTATAAAATCAGGATTTTAGCAGTGCACAGCAGCAGCCTGGAAGTGACTTTGAAGTGATTGCTGGTTAACATGTAGTCTTAATCGGCCAGTCAGTATTTCATACTTGTTAGGTTGTTTAACAACATAAACAAAAAACCATGTAGATCAGAGCAGCTTTATTGGAAATCTGACTGTATTAAAATACTGTATATGTGAGCACAGAGAGTAGGAGAGAAGCAAACAGATAAAAGTTTGGGACTAGGCAGAATGCAAATACTTATAGTAAGTTTTGACTTTTTCACAAAAGTAATCATGAAGGGAAACTGGTACTTATTCACTTTCCCTGTTTTTATAGCATTTTGAGCTATAGGCACTTAATTCACAAACCTGCTCCAT